TAAAGCAGCAATAATATGCTTCCTAGTCCAGTATGGTTTGCAGAATATTGAAATAGGTTCTGGCCACAGATAGCGAAACCCTAGAGTGAGTCTTATAACAAGAGAGTTTTTTTTTTTTTTTTTAAGACAGGATTTTAGATCTTCTCTGTTACCTAAATAGTATCCAACTTTTGTAGTAGATTTTCACTTATAATAATATAAAAAGATGCAATCACTTACAGTCACTTATGATAATATAAAATAATGGGAAATTAGTATAAAAAGGTGTACAAACGATGGTAGTTCCGACCTGGGTTCGATTCCAGGTGAACGGGCTAGCTGCATTGTCGTTTTCGTGTTTTTCACCGCATATAAGGTATATACGAGGCAGTTTCCCTTAGGAAATCCTCCAAGAAGGCATTCCTGTCCTTAAACGGATAGCTCATAGCTCTTTGCCATAATTAAGTAAACTAAACTTAGTAAACTGCTAACTACTGATTTGTGCTCTATGAGACTGAGAAGAGCTGTGCCGAGTACTTCTATGGAACGTTCTATAATTGTAAAGTGCTGCTTTTGTAAACATAAATTTTATCAAGTTATCATCGCTTCTTAGCGCATTCAATCCATTACGAACCCCTACGCACGCAACATTACATTAAAATATTTTTGAAATTATTTTAGCGTTCTTATTTTCACGTAAATTTACGGACTTTCGAGGAATTTAACAAAGCTTTCTAGAAGGCATATTTAGTGTTTTCCGCATTCAGTTGTTTAAAAATTTATACACTAGGTAACATTTAATTTCTTTTATGATTCTTCCTATTACTATCGCAGCAGGAGTAAATAAAATGGGTTTTGTAATTTCAGCCAATTATTGCGAGTGCTTTACTCCCAAAGCAAAAGCATTCTAAAAACATATTTGGCTTTTTAAAAGCTCATTAAAAGAACGCTTTGAAGTCCACATTTTTGCAATACTTCTCTATTAATACCGTGTAATATAACGATTATTATCTGTTTTTGAGTAAAGAAGAGAACATAATTCCATTTCATTCTAATTTTATAAAATAAAATTTCAGGAAATTTTGCTTTGTTTCCAATTTCGAAAACAGGCAGCAGCAAAAACTTTCGACGCATACTTTGCCCTCTAAAATGTGTACTTTTTCAATCTGATGGCCTGAAAAGGAAAAGTTCTTTTCAAGTTCTTTTCGTCTTACACATGCTAATACTATAATGTATAATGGCTCTAATATAAAATGCGATGTTTTTTTTTTGGGGGGGGGGGCTCTCAGAAAGCTCTTCTGAAAAGCATGCCTATTTTATACACGCAAGCTAATATTTAAACGATATGTTATAATTATTACCCAGGCCGTATAGTAGCTAGGGGAGCCTACTGCGGAACCGAAGGGCCCGGATTCGAACCCCGGAAAAGACATGGATGTTTAAAAGTGTATAGTGTCTGAGAATCATGGGTGCACTCTAAATATGTGGCGAGCGGAAAGTCATCTAGTATGGTTTGGTGGGGATGGAGTGGGAGACCCCCGGACCACCACCTCCAGGATGCTGTCTCTCAAAATTGGGTTGGAAATTAGAAGTCCAACCTCTCTCTGGAGTAGTCTCTGGTAACCATTCTTCCATGTAATATGGACACTACAACAACAACATATGTTATAATTATTTGTATTATTATAATTCAATTATTATATTATTATTCTTCAACCGCATTCAATTCAATTCAAATTCAATTCGGAGTAGCAGTCAGTTAATAATCAGTGAGTGAGTCAGCAGTACCTCGTCTAGAGAGTTGATTGTCGGAGTATCCCGAGTCTAGCGAGTGTATCGTCGAGTGCATCACGAGTTCTAGCGTGGAGAGTCTCGAGAGTTTCGAGAACTCCCGAACACAGTCTGTAGCTGTCCTCTGGTGCTTTGCCGTGAAGCCGTCTTCACCGTTATAGCTTGATAGCCTGAAGGCAGGGCAGGAGTTTCCAGAGTATGTTGAGGACCGAGAACGACCGAACCGAATTGGGAGCTGTACTCTGGTGCTCTGCCGTGAAGCCGTCTTCACCGTTATAGCCTGAAGGCTGGAGTTTCAAGAGTACGTTAAGTTCCGAGAACGACCGAATCGAGTCGGTAGCTTTAGTCTGGTGCTTTGCCGTGAAGCTGTCTTCCCCGCTATAGCCTGATAACCGGAAGGCTGCGACGTTGAATGTTTCAGCGTGTTTATGGTATAAGGTATTTCTCCCGCCTTCTTAGCATGCCTTCGTGGTGTGGTGGTCTGCACGCTAGGCGCGTATTCCAGAGGCCCGCGGTTCGATTCCCGGCGAAGGCGTTGATCATTTTTCATCTTGCCTGTTTCCAAAAAGATACCTAATCTCTCTACAACAGTAGCCTTTCGAGGACAGCAAAAGTGATTTTGAAGCTGTCCTGAGTAATACTGGCTAAATAAATTGTGTTTTGAGACTTCATGAAATATTGTCGTCAATCACTCCAAATCGCGCGAACCCGTGCGTGCGAAAACGCAACACTATTATGCATTCAATAAATTAGTACATTTAAAATTATTTTTGAAAGTTTTACTACTTAAACTCTAAAAACACAATACATATTATTTATATTATATTCATTGTTAAATAATAAATTTCTTCGTTTAATGCTTGAAAGATTTATTATTTTGAAATTAATACGATTACTATAATTCAGGTTTATGAAATAAAAAACTGCTGCCCTCATGCACAAGTTATTATTTTAAAATAATTCTTTAAAACAAATAAGCTGAGTACTGCGTGTTTTTTTTTTTTAATTTTATATTTACGTATTAAATTTTTTTAAATAAATGTATTTTTTAATGTTCTATATTTATTTAAAGAATGAGGAAACAATTACACATTTCGGTCTCATTTACTGGTATAATGGACGTTTTTTTCCTGTACAAAAATGATATATAGAGATAGTGGTGAGTTGAGGGGGCTAATGCGAGCCCTTTTGCTATATTTGTCTCTAAATTTTTGCGAGTTACTTCGCTGATGCGGCCGCCCAGACAGTATAGTGGTTAGGGAAGCCTATTGTGGTTCGACCCGGGTTCGAATCCTGGATAAGGCATGCATGTTTGTAAATGTATAGTGTCTTTGCAGCATGGGGGCACTCTAATGGCGAGCTGAAAGTCCTCTTGTGGTTTTTGGTGTAAGGGGAGAGGGGTGGGACACTCTCAGACCACCCTCGCTCTCTCTCAAAATTGGGGTGGAAGTAGATGTTCAATCTCCTTGAGGCTCTGCAACCATTCTTCCATGAAATTCATGGACAAGACAACAACAGCCGTTGATGCGATATTACACAGGAAATATCATATCTGTCAGCTCTACGAAGACGCAGTATAAACATTATAAAAGCTAATTTTTTAATCGTGCAACTAATCAATGCTATTGGTAATTAAAAAATTTTCAAGGCTTTTATGAATTAAAATTAATTCTGTGTTAAAACCAAAGCAATATGAGGATATTACGTTTGAAACTGAGAATAATTTTTACAAATTAAGGCGAGAAAAATTACTGAATTCTTTCATGATGTCTGTTAAAATACCTTAAAGTAACTATAAAATTAAAAAAAATGGAAACTTCGTATCAATGCATGTAATAAAAATAAATGAATTTCGGGATTCTTTTTACTTGAGATAGCTTTAACAAGAAAACGTCGTAGCGAAAATTCCTAGTTATCATAAAGAAATCTAAAGTCCTTATGGAAACTATATATGAAGCTAGAGCCTCCGGTTCTATGAACAAACAAAATTTCCTTAAGAATAAGATCGGCTCATTAGCGGCCGAGCGGTAAAGTCGCTAAACACTGGTAGTTCGGTCCTGGCGCTTCAGTCCTGAAGAACGAGCTGGTTGTGTGGGTATCTTCGTGGCTTTTCCTCATGTGTAATGTGTATACGAGCCAGTTTCCCTTAGTAAGTCCTCCACGAAGGCTATCCTTTCGTTAGGCGAATATCCCTTGAGTGCTTTGCCATGATCAAAGAAACTAATTAACCAAAACATAAGAATAAGATTTTTGAGTGTACAGTATATTTCAGTTTAAAGGGAATACCTTTAAATGGAATATCCTTAAATGGAACCTTTAAGGGAAATGAATTCTAAAGATAATGTAACAATTTTTTTAAGATATCATCTCGCGACCTTAGAATCTTTGAAACGATAAACTGACGCAAAACAAATGCATTTGGTAGTTTTTGGTATAAATTGTGCCGTATAATTTTATTTGTTATTTAAGGTATTTTATGTGATATTTTTCAGTTAAATTTTTAAATTAATTAAAGCTAAAATTTGTAAATTTAAAAAAATTTTATATTCGTGAACAATTATTTACATTTGCTGTTTCTGTAAAAATGTAAATCATTTAATAAGTAGCCTTTGATATTTTATTTTTATACTATAAGTTGGGAGACCTTTGCTATTTTCATAGCTCACCATTACGTACTCAAAATGTAAACTTGCGAACCAAACTCAACAACTTCAAGGGGCTGGCTAATTCCTGATAGGTCAATACTCTCTTATTCCTGCCCCTCGTTTTCGGGGGTTTTGTTTAAGGAGTACGGTATTAAAATTAAAATATTTCTCTGCTTCTTTCATAATTAATTTAGTGAGAAAAGTATAGCGGTTCTATCTTATCAATGTAATTACTGCTTGAAATGCAAGGAACAGTAAACTGCATCAGGAATATTCGATTTGTAGCAAGAAACACAGTGAAACATCACTTCAGGATGACTGTTACGTAGGTTGACTTTCCCTCTTCTTACCAAAATGTGACGTCATTGTATCCGCACGTTCAACAGCTGCTAGAAATGAAAACTAGCGCCAAAATTTTTTTCCCCAAACGAAATGCTCGTGTTTCATCAGTTGAGAAAACTTCATCATGGATTAATCTTTGAATAATTCATAATCAATTTATTTTAAAATCATTAGTTACTTTTAAGTTCTGTTATACATTTATCTGCGATCGATGCATGTAAAGAATTCATGACACATTTGGCGTGCTGTTCAAACGTTCGCGATTTGGCGAGTGGATTTGTTTTGACATTTTTTTGTAGCAACCTCTCCCAGTTGTAATCTATGCCAGTGATTGGCTTCAGTCACGAGTTTTACAGGCAACAGTTAGGAAGATAAAACATCAGTTTTTTAACCGTTAACAGAATAGGTGTGTCTGGTCGGATTCTGCAGCGCATGATTTGGACTTTAATCGGTTTAACAAAAGGATCGGAAATAAATATCACATCAATCGAAGAAATATTTCTCTTGATATCGAGGATAGAAACCGTTAACACGCGTCATTATTACCTTGTAAGGTAAGTGTTAAATATCTTTGAATAAGTGTAGGAAAACATTATTTCGGTAAATTTATATGAATTATTTTTTGAATTTATTTTTTAAAAGATATTTAAGTAATATTTGGTTAAGCTGTTTCAAATTTCAGAGAATTTTTAATTCTTTTTTTAAGATAAACAGATTTTGGTAGCATAAATGAAATTTTAGAAGCTGCCCGTAATTTCAGTGGCACTGATTAAGCTTTCTTCAAGCATGAACTGCATGTTACAGTAATTATTATAATTATTAAAGCAGTAAACGGTGTATTTATGGTGAGTAGTAAACGAGTCATTTAGGTGGCCATACCGTATACTACGATTTTATCTTATTATTTTTCACTTAAAAAAATTACGTATTTTAAATTTCTCAGCTGTTGACAGAATCAGCGATGAAAACATCCAACGTTTTGTTTGACATAGAGGATGGAAACTTAATATAAAAACTGTGTAGAATTTTTTAACAGTTTTTAAAATTAAGTAGCGGGCATTGTCAGTAATACCTTAAAACTCAATTCCTGTCCTTCGTTCTCAAATTCACAAATCCTTTTCAGCGAACGTGATAAAATTTAGTAGTGATTTCCGGTAGTGTTTTAGAAGTAACATAGTTGAGTAAATTTTACTGTTTAAGTAACTTTTTGAGTGTTTCAGTTTTATTGTTTACTGTCCGAGTAAATTTGACTAGTATTTTCAAACAAATAGTGGCCTAGAGGGGGGGGGATGTTGCCACTTTATAATGTCTTAAACGTTATTAAAAATATTATGACATGCTTATCACAACTGAAATCTTAAACTAATAAATGCATAAAATTTTCAATGAAAGGTGATGTTTTAAATGTCAAAATAAAATGGTTATTTAATTTATCAGTTTTTTTTTTCTCCCTTCTGATTGTCGGAAAGTTTAGTGCAGTGTGGGCATTTAAATTACCTGAGTAGCTTTTGTAATTTCCAAATAACATATCCTCCTTCTCTGTTCACAGGAAATCAGTTCTGCTTTATCGCATGTTTTATTAATTCCTTTTTACGTACTCCTGTGTTTGGCACCAAAAATGTTACGTTTGTAGGCATATTCTTCTCATTAATTTATTAATTTTATCTTCTGAAAATTGAAAAGGGGAAATTAGGCGGCGTATGTCATTTATGATCGGCGGGGATTAAAAAAGAATTTAGCGGATTAAATAGCTAAATAAATTACACACAGATTTAAGCATAAATTACACGCAATGTAATGTTACCCCTGGTAGTATGGCTCTGGAATATACGCTTATAATAAAGGGGGTATAATACACTTATGTCTCAAAAAAATATACGTATAGTTTTCAGAACTATATCGCATTCTGCATTTCATAAAAAATGAGTTATTACTTTCAGTAAGATTCCTTTTATTTCCTTAATGCACTTTGATATATAAGCTTTTTTCTTGAATGTTAAATTTCTAAATCATAATGCTGAAGAAGTTGGAGGGTAGGAAATACGTGAGAGGGAGAAATTTGTAAATAAATACGGTATTTATTTGCTGTTCTTTTTACTTCCTTGTACAAAGTAAAAGAAGAATTGTAATCGCGAAAAATTTCACGTGTCGTATTTCAACGAAAATATCAATTTTGATCGCTGTGGAATCCATTTGAACAATGTTTTTGCTTGTCATCTGTACGTACGGACAGAATAAAAACCTCTTAATTTCAAGGCGGATTATAAAATGGGTTCAGAAGAGATTTATTTCGTGACGCCTGTACGTACGTACGCACTTATGTATATATCTCGCATAACTTGTAAGCGAATAGTCATAGAACGTTAAATTTTGTATATAGGTAAGGTATTTTATGTTTAAGTACTATATTTGGTGAGTTCAGTTTTTTTTTTAAATTCTTTACGTGCTGGTACATTGTTCCTTTTTTTGCTTTAAAAGTGATTGAATTATGATGTTCTTATGTTCCGGTTAAGGTTTTTATGCCTTTAGTTAATATGCTTGCAATAGTTGTAGAATTATCAACAATTTAAAAGTTTAAGTGCCGCTAGACCTAACGAGGCCGCCATTTATTTACATTTGAAAGTCTAAGTAGAATAGTAAATTAAGTCAGTCGGTATACCAACTTCAATGTCTTTTTGCTCAGTGCGATCAAAAGTTACATTTCAGTTCACTTTCAGAAAGTCTGGTAAAATTTCTGCAGGAATTTTATCAATCGTTCGGATATTTTGCCGCAAAATCGCTGTATAAACAATGCTTCGAATCTATTCTCAAAGCGATTGCCCCGAAATTTTCATTAAAAAAAAGCCAGTTTATAAAGCGCTTACTTTTTTTTTTTTTTCCTTAATAAATACATAGTTGAAATATTGGCGTGAAGTTTGTATCAAAGTGTTCTAAACAAATCTTGTCGTAAACTCGGAAAGCCTAACAAAATAGTAGAAATCGACGAAAGCCATTTTACGAAGCGTAAAAGCGAAGCAGGTCGAATATCGACTATTTATTATATAGAGGCATGAGTTCCTTCAGAATACCACAGGAACGATTGGTGCAACATCGGTGGGATCTCCGCCAAAATTCATGGTTCGAATGTAGCCAACATTCATACCTAAGTACCAGAACATCCTACAAGAAATCTTGTTCTGTATGCCATGTTAACCGCATTTCTGTTTGAACCTGCTCTTTTTAAATGGCCCAACATAGGTCATTTAAGAAAATATCGCATTATTTTTGACACCACATTTTTTTCTTCTTTATAAAGCGGAAACGAGCTGTGTAAATATTGGATTTTGCTTTTGTCTTGTATCGCGTTGGTTGTTTCTCGAAGCAACGTTAAAAGTGCTTTGGGAAATTTCTGATTTAATGACGGCTGAATTCCACAATAAACTATATTTATATTTTCAATTTTCTTGCTTTGCTTTTTGCTTGCTGTGCTAAAGCCTTACCACTTAATCTCGTTACTATGGTGTGGCTATCTTCTACCAATTTGTGATAAGGAATGTCTTATAGTTGGTTTATCAACTTATATCGCCTCTGAAGTACTGCTGTCTTGAAGTGGCCTGTTTATGCTGCAGTGTAATGGAAACTTATCTGATAATATGATATGCGGTACTTTAATTTCCCAAATTCTGGAATTCTGAACATGAGCATGAAGTTACCGTTTTACAAAAATCTACACATTTTTAGTAAAATTTAAACTGTGAGAGCGTTTACGGTTGTACTGTAAATATTTGTCAGTTTTCATAAGGGAATTATCCACGAAGACGCCCTGCCCCTTAGCCGCTGCGTGTTTTGCCCTAATCAGGTCAGGTTAAGTTATTTGAATATAGCATAGCACGAAGGTTGTTTGCTCAAAAGGAGCGACACCTTCGTGAAGGAGTTCCTAAGGAAAACTGGTTTGTATTCATAATACTCATGGGGTAAACCACGAAAATTAGCCATGCAGCCAGCCACCTGGGATCGAACTTTCAGTATTCAGGGGTCTCGTCCACTGGTGGAGCCTTTTCGCCTTAATCAACCAACTCTTTAATCAATTTTTTGTTTTAAATTTAAATTACTTTTAGAGTGCATTGCGCTGAACCAGACACTAACTAGCCGAATTTAAGAAAGCGTTTGGGGAAACAGTAGAGAAAAAATGGAAAAATAATTTTGTTTGAGGAATTATTTAAACTTTTAAGATTAATTTAGTTGGATTTTTGCCATGAATTACTATTAATATAGAGTACCATATTTAGAAATGCATTGACCCTAAAAAAATAAGCACCGATCGCTACAAGAAAAAGTACGAATGTAAAAAGGGGAACTAAAACGTACAATTTACATAAAGTAGAAGTTGCATCGCCGAATGCAAGTATGCAACCAAAATTAGCATAAAACGCAATCCTGCAGTCGCACCACAACGCCTCTAAAAGAGGCCCATGCCTGAGTTTGCAAGCAAGATACAGGGGTTGGACAAAAATATGGAAACACCTTTAAAAAAACATGTTTCTTTGCTTAATATGGTGTAGGAAACCCGTAGGCATCCAAAACAGCTTGCAGTCTTCTCGGAATGGATAAATACAGTTCCTGTATGTTTGCCAAGGGAATATTATACCATTCTTCCTGCAAAACGGTGGCAAGTTCAAATAACGATGTTGGCAGTGGATAACGAGAACGCACTTTCGGTTCCAATGTAGACCACAAAGGTTCGATAATATTCAGGTCTGGTGACTGTGGTGCTGGTGGTGGCCAGGGGAGATGGGACAACTCATCCTCGTGCTCAGAAAACCAGTCCTGGACAATGTGAGCTGTGTGAACAGGGGCTTTGTCGTCTTGGAAGACACCATCACCATCGGGGAAGAAAGTTTGTACCATGGGATGCACTTGATCGGCCAAAATGTTCACATAAGTCTTGGCAGTCATGTGCCCTGACACAGTTATCATGGGGCTAGCAGAGAACCACGATATGGCTGCCCAAACCATAACAGAACCCCCGCCATGTTTCACTCTTGGCAACAAGCAGTCTGTATTATAGGCTTGAGATGGCGTTCTCCAGACGTAAACTCGGCCAGAAGTGGGAAACAATGTGAAAGAAGACTCGTCAGACACATATTACTCGCTTCCACTGCTCTATAGTCCAGGCTTTATGACTTAAAAACACCACCTTTTCCTGTTACGGGCATTAGCATCACTGATGAGTGGCTTCTCAATTGCAGCAGCACGGCCAGCAATTCCCTGTTTATGAAGCTCCCTTCTAATTGTTTTGGTACTCGCAGGGTTCGGTAACACAACATTCATTTCAGCAGTAACTTTTGCAGCTTTTGCAGTTGTGGTCTTCTTATGTTTCGTCACAATTGCCCTTAATGATCGTCTGTCACGATCACTCAGGACACACTTTCGTCCGCGCTCTGATTTAGCAGATGATGTTTTTCCGCTTTTCAAATATGCGGAATAAATCTTCGATACAGTACCTCTTGAAACACTAAACACCTCGGCTACCTTGCTTACGGAAGCACCTACCATACGTGCTCCAACAATTTGC